TGATGAACTCAAGAAGCTAGCCACCAAAACACAAAACAATGCAATTAAAAAGTGGAGTGCAGAACTAAATAGGGAATTCTCAACAGAGAAATCCAAAACTGCTGAAAGACACTTGAGAAAGTGTTCAATATCCTTAGCCATCAGGGAAATGCAGCGCCAAAACTACTCTGAGATACCATCTTACTCCTATCAGAATGGCTAAAATCAAAAATACTGAAGACAGTTTAGGTTGGAGAGGATGTGCAGTCAGGGGAACACTTCTCCACTGCTAGTGGGAATGCAAACTTGTACAGCCACTTTGGAAATCAGCATAGCACAGTATGGCAACTCCTCAAGAAAATGGGAATCAGTCTACCACAAGACTCAGCAATTCCTCTCATGGGCATATACCCAAAGAATGCACACTCATACAATAAAAACATGTGTTCAACTATGTTCATAGCAGCATTATTTGTAATAGCCAGAACATGGGGATTGCCACAACATGAGTGGCAGCATTAGTAAGATTGAGAACCCACTGCTCTAAAAAGTAAAAACAATGTCTGATGTACAAATGGTGGGTAAATGGCATGGTGACATTTGTGATTAATTAAAATATTTTAGTCCCTGGTGCTCACTTTAATGATGGAGCAGTATTTGTTTACATGCATTATGGGAATAAAATTCCCATGATGCCTGAGTGCATTTATTTTTGCACAATGACTTCAGTGTTGTGAATGAGTTCAACTAAACTTACGGGGTTGTGCAGCTTTGTGGAGGGCACATTATACAGTTTTGCTTTGATCATGAAATAAAGAAAAGAAGGTAGATAAATTGAAATTGTCATTCTCCCTGGCAAGGCATTGATTCTCTGAAGAAAGAAGAGCAAGTGCCAATAAGAGCTGGCTCAGATGCTGGCTGGGTCTCTGGCTGAGTGTGATGTAGCATCCAGGTACTGAACATGTCAAAGGCTCTGCTCCCATTTGGAGAGAAGAAATAATACGTCAACCTGTGATGCAACATTTGTACAGACAGAGGCAGAGAAAGTAATGTCTATGTCCATACTTTTGGAACAAAAGAGCTTCATTTTTTTAAGATTTTATTTTTATACATTTATTTATTTTCAATCAATGCTTTTATCTTAAGGTATTCTTCTTAGGAAGAAGAATTGTATTTGAAGAAGATAGATGTAATTTTTTTTCTAAAATTAAAAATTGAAGTTAATTGTACAAGGTAAGAAAAACTGTTCTTTTAGGACAAAGTTGTAAGGTGTGTGTGTGAGAGAGAGAGAGTGTGTGTGTGTTCACTTAAAACAGATTAGATAGCCCAAATGTGAATGTTTCTCTTTGAAGAATTCTCAGATCAGTCAAATCAGTACAGTTGTAAACTGTGTATGAGAGAATGAATGGTGCAACCCCGAGACTAGTCACCGAAACTTGTTGAAGTTCTCTGCTTCATGGATTTCATAGTGGAAAATGACCACTTGCTTATTTAGAGTTACCATGACACAATGTGCCATTTTATAACAAATTTCTATGATGGATAAAATAATTAAAATTGGGATCTATGCTGGTTAGTTCTCAGACAATAAAATTTCATTGAGGGGACAAGGAAAATGAATACAAAAATTTCATAAATGTGTTATAGTTACAACCATTGGCTTGGGCATTTTTCGTGTGTGTGTGTGTGTGTGGGTGTGTGTGTGTGTGTGGGTGGGTGTGTGTGTGACATGCACTCATGCTTGGCAACAAGAATATGCTCTCATGTAAGGACATGTGTGGTGGCCAGAGGTTGATGTAAGAAATATCTTCCTCAGTTACTTCTCTACTCTACTGTTCTGTATCAGTCTCTCTGCCATTTTGCATAGACTGGCAGGCCCTCTTCTATAGGGTCCACCAGTCCCTAGCCTCCAGCCCTGGGCATATAGCTGCACGCTATCACCTACCCAGTAGGTTTTCAGAATGCATGCTTGGGATATGAACTAGGGTCTTTCAGCTTGTGAGCAAGCACTCTAACCACTCAGTCATCTACCCAACCCCAGAAGCTTATATCTTTGAAATTATGGTGAAAAGACATTTTCTGGTTAATGACTTCCCATAGTTTAATTTTTGCAAGAATATATTAACATGCATGTCTCCTTTTTACAGCTACTTGCATGTCACATCTACAAAAAATTATGAAGTATTGAATTTTAAAGTTACTAAATGAATCATTTATTCCCATTGAATTTTGACACCAGAAATAAACAAGGAGGAAAAATATCCCTCTTCCCAGCAAAAAAAAAAAAAAAAAAAAAAAAAAGTGAAAAAGTAACAAGACTCTTAGTATTAGAGTATTAGAGTCCTAAAATGCATTAGGTTTTTTTTTTTAAAGTAGGAACTTTTTACTTTTTAATTTTTTGTTTGTTTGTTTGTTTCCAGACAGTGTCTTAGAATTACTAACACTGAGGATTAGCTTGGGCAAAGTCACTTTCATGTTCTGCATGAATATAAGCCATGGCCAAATACATGGTTTTCTATCCCATATAAAAATTTTTCAGCTAAAAATTAGACTTAGAGTTCTAACTCAAGTGTGTGGGTGTCTTCTTTCACTTGACATACATTCTCATAGAGCAACTATTCTCTGAGCCACTGTTTGCCACTTCTTTGATCACACCATCCCATTTGCAAAAAAAAATTACTCCTAGCATGATTTTTACATTAATAAAAATTACTATGGCTCCATTTTTTAAATATTTATTTTGTATCTTTGAAAGAATAGCCTCAAGAGGAAAACACACATTTTAAGCAAAACACCCATATTTGGAGGATATTACCTGAAGTTGAAATCTCTGAAGAAACACTTTACTTATAAAAAATAAAAAATTTATACATTACTGAAGTCCTAAAATCATTTTGTAAATTGAAGAGATTCATGTTTTTTTATGAGTCCTCCATATTCTTGATAAAAGCTTAACCCAGACCCTTGAGCAAAATTTAGATCAGCCCTCACACACTGTTTTCCTAGAGTTCAAAGTAATACAGCTTTTGATGCAGCTGCAAACGGGTTGTTAAGTAAACAGTTGTAGAACTATGTAGAGATCATTGAAGATGTAGAGGTTGTGTTCTTTGTATTGTGATTCCACTTACAGATAAGCACAGATGCCAGCCTCATCATGTCCATGAACATTCTCCAGCTTCAGAACTGCCTGCTTCTGTGATACTGTCCAGTGAAAAGCAACAAACACTTCCATAGAGGAGACTGAGGTAGGAAATTCTGAAGGACTAGATAGAAAAGCCAAAGCCTACTTTATTGCCTTCTGATGCTTGTCATTGATCGTTCATCATTTTTCTTATCAATAAACAAAACAAGAAAACTAATATTCCTTTAAAGAAGAAACTATTTCACTGTCAATTTTGCCTCTCCTCCTCCTTGTGAACAGGTACAAGGTGCTGCATCCTAGTATAGGGATTATGGCCAGTTCTGTGTCATGCACTAATAATTAGAACATAAAATAAAGTGAGCTGTGTAGACATTGATGGTGTGTGATCCAGCCACTTTGAAGAAGCCAGACAAGGGATGCCACAAGCAGCAAACTAAAGTAAAGGCATACATTCTTAATGTGATCAGCTGGTTCAAGATTCATCAAAGGCATTGTTTCCATTACATCTGAAAATTATTATTAAAGAGTCTTTAGATCTTAGTTAGACCTTATAGAATTGGCATGTAACAAACTTCAGTGTTTTTTTTAAGAATTGGGACCAGTGAAAGTGTTTTGAAAATGGTTTCAGTTGCAATAAACAAATTTTAATAGACACATGAATATTTCACATATGAACATCACCACATTTCATATAAACAAGGAAGGTAATAGTTGAAATTTTATTATGGCTATCAATATTATTTCTTAGTAAGAGTAAACTAAACATTTACAGAATTCAAAATAAATGCACTGTAATGAAAGCCAAGGATGGCTTTAAACATAGGAAATATGCATATTCAATTTTGTGCTTCTCATGAATGCTGAATTTCGCAAGATACCTGTATGAGGTCTCATATGCAAATGATCAGCACAAACAAATTTTCATGCTCCTGTTTTTATTCTGTGTGCTTTTAGCATACACTTTATTTAAGGACAATTTATTAGGTTCAGTCATAACAGGTATAAATATGATTGAGAGCATCAAGTAATAATTTTCATTTATTGTGTAGACAATAGCCCATTTACAGAGTTCTAATTCCTATGTGTATATAGAATTAGGCTCTCTTGAGATTTTTCTGTTTGATTAAATATGCACTAACAGAGAGTAATGAAATGAGAGTAGGTGGAGCATAAATTCTCAAATGTTAATTTAGTTAACCTTCCTGCAGCAGCTATACACACCCGCAGCACTCTTACGTACTTCTATGTATCTCCAGAAATAGCATTCTAAACTACAAGATCATCAGTAGAACAAGGAGGACATCTTGAGGTCATTTCAGAAATGCACACATTGGTATTTTTATAACTGAGTCCACACTCAGTTGGTGTTCAAAAAATGGATCCTTCAAGCAAATTAATGGTTTAGATATAAAATGTATAGTTTCTTCAGGGGAAAATGGCAATATTTCTCAAGAGCATTTAGAATTGCTTGAAAGAACTCTTCCTAATGTCATCTAGCTGGCACACACACACACACACACACACACACACACACACACACACACTCACTTACCCTCACACACATACACCCTCACCTTCACTTACACACACATACTCTCTCACACAAACACACACTATACGCACTCACTCACAAACTCACACAAACACTCACTCATACATACACACTCACTCACACACACATTCTTGCTGATTGATAGATACATTTTAAAATAAGCATAAAACTGTACAAAACATTTTGACAAAACTTAAATATTTTTCTACAGTGCTAAGGTTGGACACAGATTCCACAAACCACTGCACAGCCATTTTCTTGCACTGGTTCTAGAAAAATAGAAACAACTAATTTGAGCTTTTTGAGTTGTCCCACTTGAGCCCTCTCCTATGAACTCTGAGCTAGAGCTGGGCTCGCAGGACCGTTAGCAGAAAGTTCTGGCTCCTCAGTACCACTGGGGGGCTCAGAAGCTCCCAAAGCTCTGCCGTCTTCCTGAGTTTTGTTCAGAGGATCAGCTGGAGGGACACAATTAGCATCCTGCTTGGCTTCGTCCACTTCATTATGAAATTCAATTCTGTCTTGACTGTTGGTTTTCTTCACTTGTCCATTCTGGGCAGGATAGGTGCTGGCAATGACATCATAGAGGAACTGGTATTGCTCCTGGTGAAAGAAAGCATCAAGACTTGCATGGAGAAAGTTCTTATGTCCAAAAGAAATGTGCAAGTACTAACTGCCTCCTTTTATAAGTCTAGATGGCAGAAAGTGTACTCATTTATGAATGCTTACAGGAATCACCTCATTCAAGAAGCTTGCTCAACTCCCCACAAATAAGTGAAATGCCCCATTCACCTTCTTATACTTTCTATCTAAATTATTGAATTATTGATTCTGGGCTGGCCTCATGATTGTGTTTGTTGGAAGCCATATTATGACAGTTCTAGACCTAGACTTCAAGAGGTGGCACACCTCTTTCTGCCCATTCTCTTAATATGCTGCCATTTTATAAGCTTGGGTTAGCCTTCTGCATGTACCAACTGGCTACTCATTCCTGCTTCAAAGGTAAATGACAGTCACTTAACAATTTACTGGCAGGAGAGATTGTTTTAGGCCAGCTGGACAGCAGACATATGAACCTGCTTCTCATCGGCTATCCCTGGGGAACTCAGTAGATCAATAGAATATCTCTGAAATGCCTTGATATTATTTGGGCTTGTTCGTTATACAAGACTAGTTGATAATTGTCTAAAGAAAGGAAAAATAAACAATGAATGGGCACTTAAGGATGTAACTATGTAGCCTGTCACAACAAGTTGATGACCAATTCTAAGGTCTTATTCCTATTGATTGTCCTTTTTTTGAGATTTAGAATGTAAAAATGAATGGGAAAACAGAAAATAAAGAGAAGAGAACAGAAGGAAAGAGAATGTGAAGAGAGGACAGGAAAAGGCAAAGCATCCACATGGAAACACAGATGACTTGGAAGTGACATCAAGGGACACTTACATAGGTGCACACCATCCCTGTCCGTGCTTTGCGTAGAGATTTTACCACTTGAAAAACATCAACCACTTCTTCTGTTTCTGCACTTTCCAAGAGATTGAACAAAGCACAGAACAACCCTGTCTGCTGAGATCCATCTCTGCCAAAAGAAGAGGAGATTTAAAAAAATAGAAAATGATATAATTCAGCTTTTTATAGCAAAAACGCTACTAGCATATACCCTGAGAGGTGGGATATGATTTTTATTTCACATCTACTAGAGGCATCTTTAATTTTTTTAAAGGGCCAAATTAGTTTCTGTGAATGCATTTGGGTACAGACTTCTCCAATAAATGACTGTGACGTTTTTGATTCTTTGGCTTCATGAGACATAGATTTGACATTAAAAATATACTTTCTTCTGTTTAGTGCTTGGTGTCTTTAAATCCACTTTTAGCATTGTGTTGGATTGTTAGAACTAATACAATAAGGTTAATTTGATAGGCGAGGAAACCAAGATTCAGGAAGCATCCAAGCATGTTCAGAAACAAATGAAGCCCAAGTGCTAGCCCTGCAATGCCTCCCTTCTCTACTCCCACCACCTTTAACAGTTTTCAGCTTCTACATCAGTTGGGAACCACTGCTTGACAGAATTATTCACTGAAACAAAGACAACGGACTAATTTACCAACCACAGAAGGAAGAATGAGTAAGGATGGAAAACATAACACAGCTTCATTTCAGACCTCATGTAACCAGTAGGTACTCGGTATTACACTTCACTAAGAAACACCCATATAGTACAGTCAAGCCTCAACTTCTGTCCTTCCATTTTCTTTCTGCATAAATTTTGTTTTAAAAGGCAAATAATCCTGAGAAAAGGTACACAAATGAGGGCTTGTATCGGTATCTGTGATGCCAGTAATGAGGACTTTCACAACTTGTAAAAGCATTTTGCCCCATTTACAGTGTTCATTGTGTCTTGGGTTTGCTTTTAATTTCTCATTTATTTTAATATTCTTTCCCTGTAAAGTCTTCCTATTATGCATCTTTTCAATCTATCTTGAGGAGGTTACGCAGCTGTCTCCTGCAGGTGACACTTAAGTGTCTGCATAGAAAGAACTAATGAAATTAAATATTATTATTTGCAGGAGTGCTTTTGAGGATCATCACAGAAATGGGTTTAAGGTCAAGTTGCCAAGCACTGAAATTTCAGTTCATGTTTAAATTAAGGGCACATGGGAAGGCTCAGTAGACAGAGGTGTTTGTACTCAGTTCTGGTGACCTGAGTTGATTATTGGGTCCCACAAAGTGACTGGAGGAAAGTGTTTCTGACAGCTGTTCTCTGACCTCCTCATACATGACATGGGCTGTATACACACACACACACACACACACACACACACACACACACACACACACAGAGAGAGAGATAAAAGTTTAAAAATAAATAGCTTAAAGTATGTTTACTGGAAACGCCATTCAGTCAACTCTCGGGTTCTGTAATATTCAGAAGAATGAAAGCAAAGCACATAATTCTATACATAATGAAATCAAATATAAGATCCCAGGTCTAATGCTAGGCAGTGGAGAGTCAAAGATTCCATGAAATGATAGTAAACAGCTGCCAGCCTAGAATTACTGCTTTTATAACCTGCATTGTTTCAATTGTTATTGTAGTTGTGGTGCAGGTGAAGAACATGAGAGTGAATTGCTTCATGTGGATCATCACACATTCTGCACATCAGGAGAATAGCATTCAATAGAGATGAAGAGGCCTGACAGCTTTAGAGTACATCCCATCAGCCCCCTGACCTGCAGTGGACTAGGATGGGCGAGTGCTTGTGATACTTCATCCCTTCAGGGCAACTCTTGGGAAGCTTCTGTTTGAGGTTCTGAATCATAGACACCAGATTTTTGGGCTCTGCAGGAAGCTCTTCCCCACTCCATGTGGTATACTGGTACTGGTACACAGTTCTGGGCTCCTTCCTCTGCAATCAGAGGCAAGGAGAACATTAACACAAATGAAGTTCAGCCCACTTTATCCCTTGAGAGTTGAATTTTCTTCACAGTTGTTTTCATTCAAATAACTTACAATTTTTATTCAGCACCATTATATAGACCCCCGTGGACTTGATTACATAAAACACCAGATTACTTATGTCATACATGAATATTTTCAAAAGTGTTTGCCTACCTTAGAATGTCTCAGTTCAAAGGCACGGAGAGTGTAGGCTGAGGATGTGTTGGTATCTTTCATTACTACTTCCATGTCTCCATAAGTCTGCTTTCCTTCTCCCCAGTATTGAGCACAGACTTCCTAGATAAAAAAGAACATGACTTACCAGGTTCTACACAAGCATTGGGCCTGCTATTTAAAGCATTTAGATCCTCTCTCTCTTCTTACTATTTTTTATTAAATGGAAATTATTGTATTGTAAAATTGAAACCTTTTTAGAAATCTAAAATCTACTTCAAACACAGTGAAGATCCTTTCAGCTGCATGGTATTTGCTTGTGAACTATCCAGGTAATTTAAGGGGAGCTTTACCAACTCCGGAAGAGGTGTTTGGGATTTGTCCCACTTTTTAAACCGCTGTTAATCCAACCTCTTCAAAATTCTATAGAATGTGCTGACATCAGCTGCCACCATTCCACCACCTTGGGCTCCACTAGTCCTCCACTGGTTCTTGAGAACAGAGTTTGTGTTGCTCCAAGACTTCACCTAGAATCTTGATAGCCAACTCTATGAGAAGCTACACTGAGGCGGCATCTAAACAAAGGGCCAGGCTGGAAAGCAAGGGAACCAAGGGTCTCTACAAACTAGCATCCCATAATTTCTGACAACACACAGAGCCACTGACAGGAGACAGAGGTAAGGCAGGGAGCTGGAGATGGAGAGAGACGGAGAGGCGGACAGATGAAAGTATGGCAACACCAGGTGGGAATGGGGAAGGAAGAATATAGCTGAAGATTTCAAAAAGTTTTGTTTTACTAGAAGAATGGGTTAGGAGGGGCAGAGTAGGGTCACATAGGTACAAAGGATGCTTGCATATTGAGAATGCCAGATGGAGCCTAAAAGTTCTGTACAAAAATGTACTCGTCCAAAGAGGAGAGTGGGTTTTGCCATATAAATATAGGACAAATACAGAAAGGTATAACTTTGCACCATGTGAGTCCCTCCCTCCCCCCATCCAGGGAGTGAAAGAATGTCAGAACCCAGACATAAGTTAATGGCACTAACCTGACAATGGCGCCAGGAATACTAATGAGGTGGACTGTGTCACAGAGGTATCAAAACGTGAAGAACACAGCAATAAATGAGGAATCCAAGAATGGAAAATGACAAGACATGGTCAAGGATTTTCTAACATGTCATTCTTCAAAGCACAAACCTGGTCTCCACTTTTTAACTCCGTCAACATCACAATAACCTTGACCTTTCTTTGGAATATCATCTGCCAGAAGTCACCAACAGTCTCTTTTAGTGGTCCCTGAGCAGCGATTATCATCTCTGGTTTCCAGTAACTCTAAAAATCACAAAGGTGGGAATTTGTTAGTGCTGCTATTGAAAAAAGGCAGCAATAGACTCTTAAACAATTTGAAAAATAGTTGATTTAGTGTCATTGTCATTAATAGACAAAGTTTCTCAAGTCCAGGAACAATGCAGTATCTATTCATAAAATAGTTTATTCACAACTAATAATGTGAAATTACAGTTAAAATATATAGTGCTACCTTTCAAAACTAACTTTTCTTATTTAAAATTATTATCATTCATCTATATTAACTTGTGACATAGCATGATGAGATACGACACAGCAAAATTAAGCTAATACTCACTAAAGTGTGAGTTCCAGGAAGATTTAGAGAAGAAATAATTTCAACTGAATAAGTCTTTACTGGATCCCCTAGTTAGGTTTTTTTTTTTTGGTTTATATGTTGTTCTTGTTTTCCAAAAAGGTGTATGACATAAACTCATCTGAAAGCCTTTCAAAATGCTGACATGTGACTATCAAGACTATTAACACCAGTGTTGGAGTGGTCCCAATATTAATAACTAATTCTAGATAACTAAGTGAAAATGTTTTCACTGTATCATCATATAAATTCAGTTTTGCTGATTTGAATAACTAATGTTTTCTACTAGTTGTATTTATTCTAATTTTATTTTTAAAACTAACATGTTATTATGTTTAACACAAAATATGAGCAATAGCATTTCCTTATTCTGAATCAACTGATAAAGTTTTAACTCTTTTACTTAGTTTGATACATTTAAAATGGTATTACCAAGTGAAAGCTTTGTGCCTCTGAATATGAGATCATCACTGAGCTTATCAGCCGTGTATATTGCCAGAGAAATGGACCTACCAACACAGACATGATCTCCAAAGAGTCAGATACTGATTTGGAAGTGTAGATACCTACCATCACAAATGATGCATTGATGTATTTGCTGGTTTCCTCCGAGTCACTGTCATCATCAGAAGACGCCTCTGAGTCAGGTTCACTCTCTTTGCTCATTTCTAGCTCATGCTTAAGAGGCACTCTGTTAAAGTCATCTATGTAAAAACAAAGAGTAACAAGTTTTCCTAGAAAAGTAAGCAAGGCTGAGGATTGAGCTCACCTACAGAAAATCTCTCGGCATGAACACATTCCAGTGTGCAATCAAAAATGCAAATGAAAAGTAACCCAACTACTGACTGACAGATATGTAGAAAAGAAAAGGAAATTCAGAATTAAATGTGCTGATCTAATGGTGCTAAGAGTCTAATCATTAAGTCATTCAGCACTTAATGATAAAAATTAGTTTTGGAAATCCAGAAAAGAAGAAAGTACCCAAGGAGATTCCAGTAATAAAAGCACGGCCATAAAATGTAGCATCATTATGCTGCAACTTATTGATCAGTGTTTGATATGCACACCTTAGATATTTGTGGGCTATCACTGTTCTCGTTAATATAACTTAAAATTCATATCTTACATTTTTGTTTTCAATGTTATTTAATTAACATTAAATTAACAACAATTTCTGCTAACTTCATTCTTCAGATTATTATTTAATCTAATTTTATTTGGTGCTAAAGCATTCCTTGTTTCTCAATATTTTAAATAAGTAAAAACTCAGGTGATGAAATATTTAACTACATAATATCAATTCCATATTTAACTGTATTAACAAGTACTTCTGCAGAAATTAACTAAGTCAACCATCCATTGACTTGATTTATCTGGTTGTCCTGTTTATTAGCTTAGCTTATATTTTACCCATGTTAATTTTGGTATAGGCAGCTGGATGCAATCAAGGTGTGATCTTGTCAATAAGCTTAAACAGTTTAAAGCTTTAAAATGTTCATATTTCAGTGGTAAATTTAGTGATTAACAATTTATTGAACATTTCCATCTTTCCCCAACCTCACAGGCATCAGTGATACAAATAGCTAATGATGGCTAGAATCCCTGCTATTTGGTGATTACCTTGACATATACTAAAGATAGGATAAAACTAACAAAGGATACCTTTGCTAGGAGCCTTTTTTTTCCTCCAGCTTGAGGTTTCATCTTCTTATAACCTATTTCTGTTTTATTGTCTTTTCAAATGTGCATGGGTTTCAGGGGAAGAAAACACACTAAATACTGTCCATCTTCTGGTGTTCACTAAAAATATTGGGATCCAAATAATCTTCTAAAACTAAATTTTAGATAGCCCACAAACCTCTTTTCAATTAACAATCAAGTATACGTCTTACACTAAATAAGTTCCAACATGGCTTAACTTTATCTGATATAAGATATAAAAGTAGACTACATACATGGAATGACATTAGAATTCCTGTTTTTCTTTTTATTTTCATCTTGATTTCCAATGTGCTGTGTCCTCCAGCTCCTGTATGAAGGAAGTCTCTAGGAAAAACAAACAAACAAAAATCTTCCTTTAAAATCTGAATACTCCCTTAATTATTGTAGGCTAGATCATTTAAAGAGAAGAACTTCATCAATGCCTGTGAACTTTGTATAACTCTCCATGGGTGGCAGTTTTTAAATTTGACTCTGAAGTTTTCCTCTTTCATTGCTCACACATTTAGTGGCTTTGACATGTCGACTTGGGACTGAAAAATGTCATTTGTACCTAATAGAATTTGCTTCTTAGTTAAGAGATGATTGATATCAAGGTAGTATAGCTTGTTCTTACATCAGACATAATCACAAAATACAGATAATCATTACTATCCATCCTGTAAGAGGAAATTATTTTAAATGAACACGTCTGGGTCAACAAGAAAGGTACTCAAAGGATGTAAGACACCATCCACTGGGAGACAGAGCAAGGATACAACAATTCAAACCCATTTGAAAAACTCATTTGAAAAGAGAATGTTTAAACAAAGACAGCCTTCATAGCAATGTATCTCAGCTATGCTATCCAGGGAAGTATTTTACAAATCTCAGCCATGAAGCACACAGAGGCAGCTGCAGCTGTGATCTAAGAGGTTTAGGATGCATCTCCAGCTGGCAAAGGGACCTGGCATTGTCTCTGTGATGCTGAGTTTTCAAACTTGCAAGGGTATGCATGTTACAGAATTTTCCAACAAGGTTCCAAAAGGCCACCGAGGTCATCCAATGTGTAGTGGGGCCAGATGCCCTACATGGAACTCTGGAGTGATCTGGCTTTGAAGCTGTGAGGGTAAAACCTAAGTTGCCATGGAGACTTCAGGTATTGATGATGCATGAAATATGGGCCATTTGCCAAGTGGGGATGCTAGCTAGAAGGTCTGTGATCCAACCCTGAGAACAACTGCTTTCATCATGCTTTCTTCTCCATAATTAACTAAGCCATCAAACCATGAGCCAAGCTAAACCATTCCTCCTTTGCTCCTTCCTGCTTTGTCTAAACTTTTTTTTTTTCGAGACAGGTTTCTCTGTGTAGCTTTGTAGACCAGGCTGGCCTCGAACTCACAGAGATCCACCTGTTTCTGCCTCCTGAGTGCTGGGATTAAAGGCATGCACCATCCCTTCCTGGCCTAAGTGGGTATTTTATTGGTACCTAGTCACAGCAATGAAAAATGTAGGTAACATAAAAGCCAGTTACCTTGGAAAAAACTATAGCATGTTTGAGAGGCTACCCAACAACCACTCTCCTCGGGTAGCAAGAACTTAGTATTCTAAGTGGAACTGGTGGATCATCTTCCAATAGTGAGATGTGGAGAACTGTTAATCTTCAACCTTGATTCTTACAAGTGCTCATAAGCCTAAACCTCTCAGTAAAGCTGACAGTGTACAGAGCAGTACAGCATAGTTAGGTGAAGAGGCCAGACACTTGCTAGTAGTATCAGTGAAGGCAGGGTCCCAGGTCTAATTGCATGTGATCTTGAATAATGCTAGAGTATATTAGAAATGGGAGATTAGCTGAAAGGGAGGCCCCAGGATGCAGCTTCTTTGTGGTCATTCTCCATGATGGTGTATGATTTTGCATCAATCAGTTAAGTTAGAGACATCTATATTATTTAGCCCTTTACCTGCAAACTTACCCAACCCTTTACCCAGTAAACACACTAGTTCCTTGAATTGAACTTTGATGGAATTGGTTTCTTGTTGGGTATCCTATCTGGGTTAAACAGAAGTCTGTTCCTTTTCCACAAGAAAAGCTAATGCAGCACCGTGGTATCTCAACAAATGTCTTTCTCTTAACCTTCTGTGTGTCTTCAGCAAGAATACATCCTGATCATCTTCTCCCAACAGTTTCTTTCCTTTCCTTTTTTACAACAAGGAGATTTCACTTGATACCACCAAGAAGCTGAATCATTGCAGATCTTAAATTTATTTGCCTCATAGTTTGAATAACAATTACATATTCTCTTTGCTCCATGCTTCCACTTTCAAACCATTTATACTAATTTCATAGTCACAAAACCCAGTGAATTTAATTTTCTTTCTTTCCCTCATATTGTCGTACTCATTACTCAGTGTCATTCACTCAGAGGCATCAGTTACCAATTTTAAGATCACCTGATCTCATTATTTTTAGACCTGGTGAGTAATAGACTATGTCCCACAAGAGTCTCATCTCCTTGGTCAAACCAGCATCGATGAAATAATCTACATATCCTTGTTGTATCTTGATGTGTTATTCTCACTTTATGGGATCATTCTTTCTATCCCTCACCCATCGACTTTCATCATTGCACCTTTGTCAATTTTATCACAAACATGATATCATGTCTAAACTAATGACTTGAACCATCCATGTTACTGAAAATTACTCTTCTTCCTAGTCATTTATTCTAGCAACTTTCTCCTAGAAATTTGTGTTTTCATCAAAGTCTCCAACATACTGTTCTTATGACCTTCATTCTTGATTTCTATGTGACCCCTTCTGTCTTCATCCAATGCTTCAAATATTCATTTGCAAAGACCTTTACTGTTTTATTTTCACATAGCCACTTTCAGATCCACATAGGCTTACCCAACCTCTATCCCCAGAGAGCTCAATCAAAACCACTGAATAGCACTTTCAATTCATGGCCATAAACATCAGTTGATCACACAATAGTTTCTGACAGTCTTATTATCCTTGATATAACTACTTTTTATCTTACTTCCTCCTTGAGCATTAAGATCTATTTTGCCTTCCTTCCCCTGATTTCCATCAACTCTCCAATGATGATTTTGCTTCATAATTCCACCATAAATTAAAGGCAATTGGGGTTGAAGTAATGTAATAACAGTTTGATATGATTATCAAGTGTAGTAAGCATATTTTGGAACATCTTACTCTTTTCCACAAATATGTATAATTATGTGTCAATTAAACATTTTTAATGTATTATTTACCAAAGGAAAGATACTCACTGAAGAGCTACTTCCACTTTATGACATCTCATCACCACATTTGCCAACAAGTCTGCATCTCAACCCTCATTTTCTATCTGTCTGCTTGTCTCCAGTATCTACGTTCTGTCTGCTTGGATGGAGTAGTGTCTCCAGGTCTCTCCCAGACCCCTCCAATGTCCACTTGAAAAGCACTTTTACTCTTGTGCTTACAAATGTCCTTGGTATCCAGCAGAAATGCAAATACCTTAATTTGATACTCCCTGAGCCTAGACACAATGGGGTTGGCCTAGGCCCTATCCCAAAGAATAAGACAGACTTTGAAGACCCCCTATGGAAGGCCTCACCCTCCCTTGGGAGCAGAAAGGGTATGAGATAGGTAGGGTGTTAATGGGGGAGAGGCAAGGGAGGAGGGGAGGGAAAAGATCTGGCATTTACATGTAAAATAATTTTCTTTCTAATTAAAATAAAAAATTTCAAGAAGAAAAATAACAAATCCCTATTTCTTTTGGTGACTATACATAAAATATTTACCAGCATCACCAAACAACAAGTATTCATATGTGACTTAGTAGGCTTGTGGTCAGCTCATCAGCTAAAAGGGAAAGAAAATGATGCTAAAGTTCCCTGCCTGATGGTCAGTCTTGTGTTTGTCTGCTAGTCCCCCACTATATGGAAGATGGTGGAACTTGGATCATTAGATACTGTCCTCATCCTCCAAGCTTAGCTCAACTTTCATCCTAAACATTCAAGTGGGTTTCATCTGATAAAAAGTACATCCCTTCTCTTATGAAACCAAATGTCTTAGTAAACTGGAAATTACAGGTGGAATGCAAAACTTCACACCACTTTTGACACTTAGGTTACTTGAGCATGGCTATGTCAACACACTGAAATCACAGCAAACTACATCTCCAGTTGGATTTCAGAATAATCACTTAATAAAGAGGTGGAGAACCACATACTCATCCTTTTTGTTCTGTCTACCAGCTCCAGCCAGTTCAACTTTCTAATCAGTTGTAAATTCTCCTAATTATTCCTTTTGAAACCAAAACCAGACATACTGTTTAAAGGTGAGATGTTACCTTGCCTGTAGCAGATCATTCTGTGGCTATTGTGAATATTTTGAAACTCTTCATATAAGCTTAGTGAAGCAAGAATGTTACTTGTAGACTGAGACTTCAGGATTTAAACAAGCCTTTTATGTAACTGTTGTATAAATTCTGACTTTTTTTTTTTTTTTTTTTGAGACAGGGTGTAACCTTAGCTGTCCTGGAACTTGCTACATAAACCTAGCAGATATCAAACTCGTAGAGATCTATCTGTTCCTGCCTTCAGAGTGCTGGTACTAAAGTCGTTTGCCACCACATCAGCTACTTTTGACTTTTTATGTGGATTATAGAGATCAGTTCTGCTTGTCAGTGTTGCTCGATAAATAAAAGACCCAGTGACTGATATCGGGGTTCAAGCTTCCAGCTGAAGGTCATAAAAGCAAAGTAGCAGGCCCCTAGCTCTTAGCGCTACCTCAGGCTGAAAGGGCTGATCCTGATGCCTCTCCTCAGCGTGGCTGGGGGACATATAAGCTTAGTGAAGCAAGAATGTTACTTGTAGACTGAGACTTCAGGATTTAAACAAGCCTTTTATGTAACTGTTGTATAAATTCTGACTTTTTTTTTTTTTTGAGATCTCTCAGTCTTAGCTTCCTCATCTGTGCTCCACTGGTTTGTAGCCAAGTAACTGGCAAGGAGCTGGAAAACAGGCCATACTCCTCAAAGCTCCTTATAACCATTGTCAATGCTGTGACCATTGCTACCTGGAATTCAGCCTCCAGAGGAGAGGGGTCACTGGGTGGATCTCTCTTCTTCATGTTCTGTAGGCAGGAATGTAGCTCAGACAAATTCACTTCTGTTTCTCCAAACTGATTGTATTCCACTAGTGCCTGATGGATCAAGATGTACTGTGCCTGCAAAAAGCAAAGAATAACACACATAACTAGCATGTACTATAAATCCCTATATGAAACATTTAACTAAAATATGCATACATACAAATTTTCCCACGTTGGGGAGCTGTCTGTTAAAAGAATATTGATATCTGTAGCATTTAAATAGTCTCAAAATTGCCTCTCACAATTTGTGGAATATGAAAAAATTACATTTTGGACTAAAATTCTAGAAGAAAAAATAGCTTGTCAAATAGAGTATCCACTGTGGGTGGCTTTCATTTTATGTCTAGATTTTATGTCTAGTAACACATGGTGTGTTACTTCCTCCAGTGATTATATTGAGATTGACATTAATATTATTCAAAACTATAATAATTTTCAATATATGTCAGAAAATAGATTGATATCCTATAGAACATATTATTCAAAGTTTTTATAGCATTTATCATCAATGAAAAAGACTATTTAAGATCTAGTATGCCAAACACCAATTTAGAAATCCTAAATCCTTTTGTTATCTCATTCAAGTCCTTTTTGTTTGTTTTGTTTAAGGAAAATATGTTTCTGATAAATCTTTTAAACTAGCATCTCTGGTTTGGCATGTCTTTTGACTCTGATTATTTTCTGGGTATCATTCTATTTGTATAAACTTGTACTCCTGTCTATTTACCTACACACAAGTGCATGCATTTCACTGATATTGATTCCCCTGTCTGTGGTTTCCATCTCTGTATCTGACCACGTAGAGACACATACACTGGATTGTTCTCTCCAACACTACAAGTCATTTGTTGTGATATTTTTTTCATTTCTTCACTATAGGTATTTAGATTATTTCCAATATTTTGTTATTCTAAATATGCTAAATCCAAGAAGTATTCCTGCACCTGTTTCTGGTTATGGCCATTTGCATAGGCAAACTTGTACTGTTGTCATATAGACATTTTTAATAATAACTACCACTTCCAATTAGCAAATGCCATGCAATGCACCAAGCATGCCTAAGTGCTTCAACTTGTGCTTTCCTTTTCCCCATATTTTTGTTATTGTTATATGAGGTAAATACCGACTTTATCTTGGCACTACTTCCATTTTATGGATAGTTTATCTGTGGCAAAGAAAGATGAAAAGAAATCCAACAGTGTATAAAACCAACAATTCAGGGTCTGTATTTGAATTTCTGAACTCTAGTCCAAAGAGACAGGTTCTTGAAGGATGTGGTGCTTCCTGCCTGTTAGCCTAGCACTTGGGAGGCTGAGGCAGGAGTTCTGATGCAAATTCAAGGGCAGGTAGGCTATATAGTAAGATCCTGTATGAAAACATCAAACAAAACACAAGATTCTCTTAACCCCAGATACTATTCTATCTGCTAATGTTATGAAAAGTTGCCAACACTGTTTTATCTTTCTCATCAGGCTCAGGAATGTAAATGACTTCACTGTTTGGGGAATATCTTAAGCTTATATTGCTTCCGTGGTATGTTTCAACACAAGTCCAAAGTGCTCCTGATGGAGATTAGCTTGTTTTAGTTTTCAGAAGTTAAAACATCTTCTTCATCCATCATTTGAATTTGTAATAATATATATATTTCTTTTTATACTCCTCACCATTGCCCCCAGAAGATTTAAGTCATCCAACAAAAGTGAGCCTACTCATGAAAATTTTGACTGTACCTCCACTTGTACCATCAGACACCTCTGTCGCCTTAGCTTGACAACATAACCATAGACATCCACTTTGCCCTCTGCTTCCAAGCCTTCCAGCATAGCATCAATTCCAATGTAGGTGCCTGTGCGCCCAACACCAGCACTATGGGAACAAACAGAAAAGTGAGGTGAAAGGTATACCAGATGGCTCGGTGGGTGAAGGAGCTTGACTGGCAAGACTGACCTGAGCTTGATTCCTGAATTCCATCTAAAGGAGAACTGAATCTATAAATCTGTTCTCTATCTTAACACCACACCACACCACACACACACACACACACACACACACACACACAAAGGGTGGGCAAAAAGGCAAGTTTCACCTTGAAAATTACTTGCAAATTTACATTCAGGCCCTTGCTATGTACTTTACAAATCATAACGTAAGTTTATGCCCCTACAAATGTGTGCAATTATGAAATATCACTTTATTATAGCAATAGCTGTTTGAGAAATGAATATAAATTCATCTTAGCAGATTGGAACATTGTTGAAAAAATAGCACTAGCCAATAAATGTCCCTCGCTGCCCAATGGAGTTTTACAGAGTCATGGGAGCTCTTGACCCACAGAGTCTTTACCTGCAGTGCACCACAATGGGGCCACTGAAGAAGTTGCTGAAAGCATTAACCCTCCTTCGGAGTTTGAGAAGCAGGTGGGGGTCTTCAGGAACCCCATGGTCTGGCCAGCTGGTGAACTGGATATGAGTCACGTCTCTTCCGGTTGTTTTCTCTTTTTTCTAGTCAAGAGATAACGCATTCTTTGAGATGGTTTCTTTCAAAGTGATCTCAGTGAGATAAATATGTAAAAAAAAAAAAAAAAAAAAAAAAAAAAAAAACCCGACCTGTACATTAGGCTCCATATGCAACTATCCCCAAACCTTTGTCTCAGATGCTTTCTTCTTCATTTTCCAGGACTGGCTTTCCTGTCTCATGAGAAGTCACACTAGACTCACATGCACCACCCAGTAAACCAGTGATAAGCAGAGCAGGGAAGAGTAAGGAAAGCAGAAACTTTTTGGACTTTCTGTGCTATGAAGTCAAAATTAAAAGTAATAAAATAAACTAAAAGTGAAAGACTGGAAAAGGGAGTGGAGACATGTAGGTGGATGTTTGGAAACTAAATAAGCACTATCCTCACAGTGGTTTAGAATTCATCTACTTGGTTTCCTGGCAAGCAGGGTTATTTCCTACATGTAGAAAATATAATTAATATTTTGGTTTACATTCCATTCTATGCATTATCACACAAAGAATTATCTACTTTCAAAAAATAAATTATAAAGTAATATCTTGCTTGTAAGTTTCCGATAGAAATTATTTAAATACATTAAGATAGATACCTCAGAATAATCACAGTGATGAGCTAGGCATTGGCCCCTAAATAGTTCATATACTATACGTGTATGTATGTATGTATGTATGTATGTATGTATGTATGTATGTATGATTACTAATCCCCAAGAGCAAGAGCAAGAGCAGAGCATGGATTGACATTATCCTAGCAAAGAAGCCTGTAGGAGAAATACCTAGCAAATCTGGTTATTTGGTTTTTGTTTTCCTGAAGAAAATGTATCTAAGCTTTGCACGAATAAAGTTCAGATTACCAAAACAAAACAAACAAACAAACAAACAAAAACCTCCAACAAATAGAATTCAAAGAAAAGTAGAACTCAAGTAAGGTATGCAAGTTTAAATTGCACTATTAAGATATACATGGTAAATCAAAGAGTCTACATATTTAAAGTATGTTGTTACATCTAGAGTAACACCATCACTATCTCATGATAGAACATTGCTGCCACTGTAAAATGAAAACCTGAACCCATCTGACTCCCTATTTGATACCCTCAGCCTAAGGCAACTCCTCATCTATTTTCTGCATTTATAGACTCCTCTATCTGGAATTTTTCTGGAAGTGGAATTATGTAATAAGAGATGACCTCTATTTCAACTCTTTTCAAGGCCACACTGACCTCATTCTTTGCTGAGCTGAATTCTCTCTCTCTCTCTCTCTCTCTCTCTCTCTCTCTCTCTTTCTCTCTAATGTATAGTTGTAACTTGCTACTTATTAAAATGCCCACATGATGTGCCATTTTTAAAATCTGCTTTCCATAATGCAGACAGACTACTGACAGGCAGGATTGTTTGGTTTTCCACTTAATAACCTCGTCATTGACTCAGCACATCGTGTGGTCCCTCTTGTTGCTACTTCAGAGGTCCAGTGTAACAGACACTATGATTGGTGCAGACAAACAATGCATGCATCAACAGTTAAAATTTTATCTGGTCAGCTTTCATGGTTGCTTCAACCTGGCTCTTTCTCCTAAAGATCATTGAAAGTAATCTTTCCCAGATGTGTTTTAGTTCTTCACATTTAATATTCCTTAGCTGCAGTTTATAAAAAGCCGTGCCAAGCCAAAAGTTATGTAATGAAGCAAACTCACATGTGTGATGTGAAGCTTCTGAATGATGTAATCAGGACATCTCTTGTGTTCATTGATCCTTACAACAACATCTCTGAAAGCCTGGGTGCCTTCCTCCATGGTTGGCCAGTATTCTGCACACTTGTTCTACAGTTTGAAAGAAAAAAATCATTCATGACTCCAGCGTATCATAAAACAGTTTTTGCTTGCTCCTAAAACACCAACAATCAATAATCTATTCAACTGATAGTCACCCAAACGTGGCATGTTTTTAATACTATGTGCACTTTGAGCTGAAACATGTTCTATTTCCCACTAATGTTTCTGGATGTGTTTATCTTAACTGATCAGCAGAAGGACAATCTGCCCATGCCTTACTGCCTTTTACAAAAAGATCACAAAATAAACAAATAAATAATGATAAGCAAAAGTAGTGAGCTTACAGGGGGTCACTCCAGCTCAGGAAACCAGAGGCTTTTACTTCTCTTGACACTGAATCATGTGTGTGTCCACTGTTTTCCCAAGGCTTGTCAGCTTTGCCGTGGCCATTCACAAATAGTTGTGAAGGTGGCATGTTACAATGTATAGAACTTACACAATGTCAAATAAAAGCCTCAATATCAATTAACTTGACTATTACACACACACACACACACACACACACACACACACACACACACACACACACTTTGTATACAGATTTAGGTTTTCTACCTGCATGGAGATGTAAATAAAATATTAACAGGGTTAAAACAGAGCATTGTCTGTATTACTCATACCAGATGTAACTCATCGTTTCCTGAGTTCCAACCTCAGCCTTCTGGGCTCTTACCCTGTTTCCTTCTTCACATCGTGTGACCATGACAATAACTGTGGCTTTTTGTTCCCAGATCATCCTCCAGAAGTCATCAACGGTTTCATCCCGGGGTCCTAAAAATTAAGGACAAGTTTCGAAATTCTTCCTAAGAAATGCTATAAAACAAGTTTCCAGGAGCAACTCCAGGATTTGAAATAAATTACCTTGTGCAGCAATGTATTTCCTTGGTTCTTTGAAGCCCTGATCAAAACACACAAAGAGAAGAGCCATTTATAGAAATCTTGTTTCTTTAACATGCAAAACTGTGAATTAGAAGAAGTTGATATAGCTCTATCATGGTTGTAAACACGTCTGGCCATTTTCAGATCATTGTAGGATGGTATTAATGTACAACTAGGCATTTAATGGTGCTGAACAGGTTAGTTACCATCTGCAAACAGCATTCATGACCTACATATATTTTTGCCATGTACTACAAACAGTTTTTATAATTAGACTTCATCTCATCTGGGATGGTGCAGCAATTAGCAAGATGAATCCAGACTTTCATTGTTTATAAACTGTTTGCCCTACAGTACCTTCTGCTATTTAAACCTTTTTACCAGTCATGGAGCTCTTTTTCAGAGTTTCAACTCATTTTCTTGCATTGAATCCCTCTGGGAACACACCTACATTTCCACACATTAACTATTGCTGGAACATGCTTTGGATTCCCTAGAGTCCTTTTATGCCATTCCGGATATGGAAAATAAAAACATTCATTATCTGTAATGACTACTTTCTCTGCTCCACTGACTAAGACAAGGAAGCCTTGCAGACACAGATAAGATATGCTAATTCCTTGCAAAACACTCTCAAATACTTTAAATTTACCTTAGCAAAGGGGAAAATGCCATAGGAAGAGGTAGTAGTGCCATTGCTTGAAACTTTGCCTAACAGGTATATAAACCATCACCTAATTTTACTAAGTCTCATGATAGTACCAGTCATGAGCATCTGCTTATAAAGTACATGCTAAGCAGCTACAGTATGTCAAGAACCTACTTAGCAGCTGACAAGAGGTGCTTTCCAGGGGGGTTGGTGCTCAGTTGGAGAAACATAATTATAACTAGATCCCAGCATATTTAAGCAGATTATGTAAGCTATTTTTTTTTAGAGTCTACCTAAATCCTTACAAAATCTTCAGCACTGCCATGTCTGCTCTCAGTTACATTTCTTTGAAGGACAAGACATTTAGAAAACATACTTGTGTCCTCTAAAACAAAGCTTGGTCACCATAATTGTGGCTTGCAAAGGTCACTTGCCAAAACTCAGTTAAATTGAAGGGGAAAGTTAAGACCAATGACTACTTTATCTTGGGGAAGGATTCTTCACATCTGAAAGTGTTGCTTGCTTCTGGAAAGAAGCTTTGCAGAGAACACGTAAAGCAGGAAAAAGAGTTTATACTATGGAGATCACGCACACAGTCAGGAAAAATATTTCAGCTCAGTTAGATTCCAGAGCATGTTTTTTAAATAAGAATATAAAAAGTGTTAAGTATCAAAAATATTTGATGAAAGACAGGTTTTGGGTGTTATCTTCAGAGACCACCTGGGGATGCATTCCCAGTTTGATTCTCCTAGAAAAACTAAGACTATTTGACAATGAGTTGACAAAGTTATTTAATTAATATATGGAAATCACTAAAAATGATGACTGATAAACAGCAAATGCATCTAGAAAATTGTTGAATGTTACCAAATAGCCATATTCATTTGTATGAATAATTTAACTCTGGAAAACCATACAATATCTCAAAAAGTGACTTATTAATGATTAAAACATAGATGTCAAAGGTGTATGCTTCATGAGTGATTCAACTAGAAAAATCTATTTACATTTGTTTATGTTTTTATATATATATTGTGTGTAATTGATTGAAATCTTGTTTCCAAATTTTGTATTTACCTGGAACTCCAGAGTGTGCCTTGAAAAGAAAGTGGTGTCTTTGTGGAACTGAGAGTTAAAATGTGTCGTAAGTGCAATGATCAGTGCTCATATAAGTGAAAGGGGCTGGATATGAAAATATAGGAGCTGCAACAGACAGGAAGACATGAGGTGGAGGCAGAAACTGGAGAGAGGCAGCCATTCACTGGGAAAATAAGGATAGCTACAAGCCCCCCCCAAAGCCAAAAGGTGGCCATATAGGATTTCTTTTCTCCCAGAGAGCCTGAGTGAACATGGCTTACTGAGAACTTGCTTTGAAATTTTTAGGTTCAAGAACCCAGAGAATAGATTCATATTATTTTCCTGGTACTAATTTGTGACATTTTATTATGCTGGATCTCAGAAACTAATGCCTGTAAACTAATATATACATACCTACATCATCCTAAGGTGAAATTTGACTTTCTATGTCAATAAAATGTTACACATTTATGTCAGCAAAAGATAAATGATGATAGCCAAAGGACCTCAATTTGAACTGCCCACCCTTTAGAAAAACTTGAGAATTACATGCAAATCAGCATGTAGCGTAGCATACCATGTACTTTGTCAAGTTAGACCAACTACCATGAGGAAATTTTTTAAATTATAATTGTATAGGTTTCTTGGACCTGGAATTATTCTTTTAGAAATTTATTCTATAGATACATTAAAAACCACATTATAGTAATATGAACCAAGCACTTCACATTTTTCTTTTTAGTGGCAGAAGTTTATAAAGCATACTTAATGTCCAATAATTATACCATAAATTGACACAAAAACAAAAAATCCAAAAACTTCCTGGGTCTGGAGTTAGCAAACTAAGGCTTGTGATGTTTAATATTTGTTGTTTTTAATGTGTTTTAACTGTGCAAGTGCCTGAGTATGCAAGTGCCTACAGAGGCCACAAGAGGGCACGAGCTCCCCTTAACAGATGTTACAGATAGTTGTGAGCTTCCTGAAGTGGGTGGTGGGAACCAAACCTAGAAACTCTGCAAGCACAGCCAATTTTCTTAACTGCTGAGCCTTCTCTCCAGATCGCCTTTCCCTATACCCTGATATTTAATCTTGAGTTTCAACTTGATATTATTGAAGATAGCCTAGGAGACAAACTGTACATGTCTGTGGGGGAGTATCCATAGAAGTTTAAATGAGGTAGGAGGATCACCCTGATTGTAGGTAACGCTATTCCCCTGACAGAGGTCCTGCACTGAATGAAAAAGAGAACACGAGTGGAATTCTAGTATTTATCTTTCTCTGCTTCCTGACTGCAGATGCAATGAGGTCAGAACTCATACTCCCGCAGCCATCATGATATAGTGTACCTCAAAACTTGAGCTATAATAAACCTGCCCTTCCTTAAGTGTTTTTTGTAACAGGCACAAGAAAGGTATATACAGGCCTGTGAGCAAATGCATCAAGATCTGACTTCATACCTAAAGTGCTTTTGTTACTGAACTGTGTTATGTACTGTCACGGGAGGAGTTGAGTATTTGTGACAGAGATTAAGTATGACCTCTAAAGTCAAAAGGAAGTGAAGGAAGTGCTTTCAGGTCCATTAGAGGAAGAGTCTGCTAATCCTTCCCTATAGAGTGCTATTATATATATTTCATGTAGAGAGAGAAAGATTTGTATGTATGTAAATATTTTAAATAGTTGTGTATTGTATATCTATACTATACATAGTTATGTATTATATATTTATACTACACATAAAAGTATACATGTGCATGTATGTTCATACAGAAATGCACCTCTACATTGGGTATGCTTATATATGCATCTTAAGAAAATAATATAGGGTAAATAACAGTGTGAATATAATATTTATAATAAGAACCTTGGTGAATATTGGAATTTTGCTTTTCTATTAAGAAACTCTGTGTGGACATGAAGATTCTCCTAATAGAAGGAAATACTTGCTAGATTGAGTAATGAGATGTTCTCAGACATATATTTTTCTGCTATATAAAATTCTTTAACTCACAGGAAGTACACTTACTTGAAAATTATATATGCCAAATTTTCAAATGTTTACATTTTTCTAGAAATTTACAGAGATGAACAGAATCTACTGCAGTGCACTGTATAACAGAAGAACAACCGTTTGGGGTTATGCAGACCTGAATTACATCTCAGTTAAAACTTTTCCAGATTTCATTAGTTTCATAATAACTAAAAACCTGAGCCTCCCACTCCTCGTGTATAGAGTAGGCATAGTGTGCATAGCTGAAGAAATGCAGAGTCCTTATGAGCAATGCATGCAGAGATAATTCAGTTTCATGTACAGCAAAGAGTAGACTTTTCCACTAAGAAGAAAGCCCTATTGTATACCTAGTACCAGCAAGCATGTATGTAACTATTTTTGTAAACATTAATCATTTTATTGTTGGTGTTAGTGATGTTATGGGCTTAACTTAAAATATTTCTAGTAACATGTCTAAGTTTTTGCAAAAACAGTGGAGGAACTAAATGGTACACATAAATGCAAAGAAAATGAACATTTCCCACAACCAAAAGTGGCTATAAGGTAACACAGTTTGTGTATGCACTCACATCGATGTAGCTGGCATTTATGTAGGTGGAGCCTGCATCCCCATTTATTTCAGAGAGTTCAACACGGTTGTAATCATCTGTTTAAAGAAAAGAAAACTTTAGTATTGGAATAACGAGTATTCAGGCATTGTCAACATACAGAAACTCAGTTCCCTATGTGGACTTACAGGGAAGGATGTCAACGTAACGGTTTTTATTCTGGTTGTGGGGCTTTCGGGCATCTTTGATAGAAAACTTGCTGAACACCCGTGGAATGCTCTGGAAGACACAAAGATTCTTAGTGTTACAGAAGAGTCCAAAAAGGAGGAGAAAGAAGAGGAGGAAGAGGAGAAGGAAGGAAGGAAGGAAGACAGGTAAGGATGGAGAGAGGAAGGATAAATGAGGTGGTAACTTATAAATATGTCCTTTCTACTGACAAACATGGTACATACAGTAGCTGGAATTAATTTTATTATGCATTTTTCAAAACTGACCTATTTCCTTTAAAATTAATATCAGAACCATTAAATTATTAAATTAAAAAGAACAATGTTGCATGAAAAGTATATAATAACCAATATGCCACTCAAAACTTCAGTTTGTGACAGATCATTAGATAGTCACCTAGAACACAAGTACAAAATGAGCCAAACATGTTTTGTTAGAAGACTTCGTAATCAGTTACAATGCACTAAAGCATTATACTATGATGTTTACCAGTTTCGTACTATGAATGGCCTTGCACCTTCATTGAATCTCTCATCTGTAAATATTGCAGCAGAAAAATATGCCTGTGTTATATTGCTGTGTTCTGGGGGGAAATTATTAAGGCAAATGGTTTTGCAAATATACTTAACATGGAGTCATCTTGATGGCCATGTGGAATTTCTTACCCTATATCAATGATGACACATACCTGAAATTCAGCCAGAAAAAGTCTACCCTCATCAGCAATCTTCCTTTTATATGTTTCCAACAAAATGTCAGCATGAATTGGCTCCACATCCATCAGTTGCTTTTCATCATCTGTAAACAAGTTAAATTCAAGACCAGTGTTGTGCCTGTTTGTCTATCTGTCTGTCAGATATGCATATGTTAATAGAGTTCACATCTTGAATTTAATTCTCAACAATTTTCCTTCTTCCTATATCTGTAGAGAATTTCATTCACATGAATGTGTTTGCTATAAGTTAAGGACTTATAAATCTTGTGCTTCAGTCATTTTCTGACTTTGTATTATTCTCTTTACTAGAATGAGCTTCTCCCTTTCCTATGCCTAGGTAAAGGGTTCCTGACAAAACATCACCATTGCCAGACATCCATGTTTTTGGTTAATCCCATGGAATTTATAGTACTTGACATATTTCTATATGCCATGATTTTTATTTTTCTCATCAACAACCACACACGCTAAATTTTTAATTTTGTGAAATATAAAATTGTACAGATAAGAAAAAATGATTAATACTATTTTATTCACCATTCATCTTAATTTGGTTACACTCTACTATCAAACAAATCTCATTCATCTATTGTACTTTGTGAGTATTTTAAAAATTAAATACATCATGAGATAACTTTCTGTGATAAAAAGGAATGTAAATAGGTATTGAGCATTACCCTTTCTTTATATTATGAAAACTTTCATGTGGATCTTGACAAAATATAGGTTTTTACAAGATACATTTGTTATTTGATAATATTTCATGTGTACGTTTTGTCCACATTTATGTATGTGCACACAACCATGCAGTTCCCACACAGTCCAGAGAGGGATATCTGCTCTGCTAGATCTGGAGTTAGGGCAGTTGTAAGCAGCCAAGAGGATGCTGAGAACTAACCCAGGTCCTTTTCAAGAGCGGCCAATGCTCTTCACCTCTGAGTCATCTCTCCAGCCCCACAAACTATGATTTTAAAAGGTTAAGAATCTTTGTGCCAGCCTGGCAGTGGTGGTGCATGCCTTTAATGCCAGCACTTGGTGGACAGAGGCAGGCTGATCTATGTGAGTTCAAGGTCAGCATTGTCTACAAAAGTGAAATCCAGAACAGCCAGGGCTACACAAAGAAACTGTGTCTCAAAAAACCAAATAATAATAATAATAATAATAATAATAATAATAATAATAATAATAAAAGAAAAAGAAACTTTGTGCCATCACACATGCCAATGTTTCTCTTACTCTCCCAACTTCTGTTTCTGTTTTTTTCTCCAGGTATCATGGTAACTGTCCCATTGTCAAATGAAGAAAAAAGCTGTCCACGAGTGTGGCATCATTATCTTACTGTTCACAGATCTTTGTTTCCAAACACAATTACCACTTTGGCTAGTTGCAGTAAGTTGTTCCTTTGATTGATGGGAGATGCCTAGAACTCATCCATGCTGAATTGAGGGCTTTGTTTAGAGTAAGTTCTAAGTTCTTCCCTGTTGCAACTGATACTAATTACAAGATGAAACATCTGATACTTCCAATCCACCTTAATTCCAGGAAGAGTATTCTACCCTCTGCCCAGGTACGATCACTCTTTTGTTCCTCCTTCTTTTCACAGCCTAACAGAACCAGCACTCTATAAATGTCATTTTGTTGACTTTTTCTATTCACAGACACATGCACTAATTCTATATATTCACCCTGGCACTGTGGAGAAAACACTGAAAAAAAGGAGGAACTTTCCCAAATTCTGCAACCTACCTATGGCAGGCTAACCAACAAAGACATGAATAAATAAAGTGTCAAGTTGTGATACAGTCTCTAAAAGAGACTAAAATTAAGGATCTCTGAAGAACCATCCCAAAAGCTGCTGCACAGAAACTTGGTACCTCCCATTGTCAGAAGGAAACCCTTCACACAGGAGTTAACAAAAGATAGAGAAGTGCTCTGAAATTCTGTGTCTTATATAATGGAAAAACAAGCTACTTTAATTATCATAAGCATAGTTTAAATATCTTTAATGATTGACTGTTTTTGTTCTGTCTTTAAAACCTTAAAAAATAATTATATAAAAATAATTATATAAAATAATTATATAAAATAAGGGATGTCTTTTCTTTATACAATGTCTACCTCCATTATCACCTCATCACCATCTGCTCTCCCATTCTTCCTTACTCACTAGGTGGTCTGATGTTTCCCAGAAGTCTTAGCCAACCAAATTCCTGCACCCTCCACAGGCAATTGTCTATCATTTTTCTTTATACAGAACTGTGTACATTAAACAGCTATAATATTTACCAAATTGTTCTTACTCATTAACACACTTGGATTCCTCTATTATATTCCCAGAGACCATGGTCTCTCACTGTTGTACTCTCAGTGCCATGGATAGTATTTGTGATACCTTGAAAACTTCACATACATGGCTACTTTTGGAAAAAAATAAATTTGTTTCATCATGTGTCAATAGACAAAGTCCAGATTTAATTAAAAATACACATCCCTGATTTTGCAATAAGAGAATGAAAATTCAGAGAAATAATATTCATCAGTAAAAATTATTTATACTTACCTCTTTCGACAAGTTCCTGTTGTTCATCTAAATTGCTGTGAAAATAAGAAAGATGAGTTTCTATATTTGTAAGGAACATGGAATTCAGTTGGCATTCAACTTAACTGAACAAACACCATCTTATAAATGTATTGAGTGAAGGGGGAAATAGAGGTAAGGCTAACAGAAGAAGGGTTAGAGGAGAATAGGAGAAGATAGAGAATGAAAGGGATAGAAAAAGGGAGAGGTAAAACAGGAACTTGGGAAGAGTGAAGAAACCAAGGGAGCAAAGAAAGAAATCAAGAGTTGCCTGTAAATTTCAGAAGAGTGAGAAAGAGTTAAATGGATTCTCCCATTTTTCATAAATACTTATCTTCTTGGGCAAAGAAATAAACAAAATCCCCAGAACTTCCCTCCTTTTGCATTTGCTGTTCCCATATTACTTTCATCTACTGAGGATTAAAAGAGAGGGTACACATGCTTTGCGCTGATTATTATCAAAACAAGCCTACAATATCATTAGCAAAGGCAGAGAATATAAGTGCTTACAGTAATCTAGTAATTCCATGTTAAGTCTTTGACACCCAATTCAGTCATTAACTGAAGTTCATACTGTCTTCTCTAGTCCATTTCTCGGTTAATGCATTTTGAACAGTTTGTGACATTATTACAACTACTATTGCCTCCTAATTCAAAATTAATAGTCTCTTACCTGGATCTTTTCTTACGCAGATCATAGATTTTATACAGAACAACAAGCAGGGCTATTGATGTCACAATAATCAGAAACACCAGGAATATAATCAGTGCTTTAGCATTATCTAGAAATGATAAGTGACACACAAGAGATAATTATGTCATATACTTTGGTAGACAATGTGAGTGACCTTCATGAACTAGAATTTTAGTATTTTTTTTCATTTATGGTGAAGACTCAAAGCAAAAATTTTAGAATAAGTTGAAATACATTAAAATCTTGATTTTGCAATGATGGGCTCTGTTATTTCAAAATTCCCAGGGCATTTATATTTAAAGAGACTAATTAGAATATAGATGAGTACTTCCATTTCTTTTCATTAAATACTGTACTTTTGTAGAAAACTATCATTTAGATTTAATTCCCTTTCAGAGAGTCATTTTAAAGGGATCAATGAGGTAATGCAGTTATTACAGCTTTCAGAAAGAAACTCATAGTTTACCATTGAGCACAGAAGTGGGTAGCCTCCTAAGGGATTCATAAAAGCTTCTACCCCACAAAGATAAATCTCTTACATGCTCACTGGGGGATAAAACCAATTAACCAAGAGACAAAATTTACTTCATTTGACAGTGAGGATTAACACTTTCCCTTGCTTGAATTTTCACTAAGAATCAATGTAAATCACAAGCATAGGGAAAGGAGAGCAAAGCAGGGTTGGCAATGTCTTTATCCTGGGTGATGTGCCATCCTTTTCATCCACACAATGGAAATCCAATAAACCCATGCAGTGGCATCAAAGTTTGAGCCCCAGCGCCAGGCTGCTGAGCTTCCAACCTTAGTTCTTACATCCTGAAAGGGAATCCTATTACCTTTGCACCTCAGTTCCTTAATTCCTGAAACGAGGTTAAATGGTGTAGTTACAGTAAATGGTGGGCTGTGTAGAACACAGAGAAAGGTAGCTGTTCATAACCCCTAAACCTTGTGTGTGTGTGTGTGTGTGTGTGTGTGTGTGTGTGTGCACGCATACGTGCGCTTTATGGTCTATAATGATGCTCCCTATGTATAAGGTATCTTAGAAATCAGAGTATAATCAGTACACACATCTGTAGCACATATATGGACCAAACACCACAGTCACATTTAAAGGAGCTACCAAAACTACCTGTCTGTGTAAATAAATACTCTAAATTTGTAATGAAGGCAACATCTGCTGAGTGACTAAGTGATCAAATCTATTAATTAAATTTTTATTATACTGTATTTTAATCTGTGTTTACTCAGAGGTTTTTGAAAATTTCAGGTATTTATAAAGTATGTGCAAGCAACTAAGGAGTCAATTGATGGATGCAAAATAGCACAGCTCTGCACAAGCAAATCCATACACATAGAAGTAGAAAAAAATAGGGCAGGATGACTTACAAGATGTTGATTGATTTTGAGAAACTGCCTCTCCCTCATACTTTCCATTGTAAAAAGAGACCTAAATTTCAGTTGAAAAAGAAAACAATTTAGTTTTCTTCTGTTAGTGTGAATGGCATATTGTAAAATGTACATTATTTCTCATACAATGCTGCCTCTTTTCATTAAAGACTTCTGAGTCAAAGCTGAAACTATAAGATTATTTCATTGTATCCAGCCTAAAAGATAGAAGAGGGGCTTACCTGTCTTAGGAATGACAGCAATAACAATTGGAAATGGAAGAACACAGTTCAAGAAATAAAATCCAGAGTTAACAATTTCAAGGTAGAGTAAATGACAAAAGGAAAGTTGTCTATTAATATGCTAGTAGGTTCACATTTTATTTTTAAAGTAAATCTGCTGTTTACAAGAGACAGGTGTGGAATGTGCATGGGTAAAAGACATGAACAAATGCCAGTGTGGAAATAACTAGCATAAATGCCTACAACTCACAAAATTTAATACAAATACAGAAAATAAGCTTGATAGGAAAGGACACTGAAGGGGTTGATGAAACAAAACTACTGATATCACATAAATTATGTTAAAATAGATCTGAATATCATTAAAGGGGATTAACATGATGTGACAACCGTGACAAACAAGCACGGAAGCCCTCACTCTCTATACAAGTGCGTATAGGATTTCCCATTATTCATAAACAAAATTGTATCAATTACCTCTTATAAATCAATAAAATTCACAACATTAAAATTTTAAACTCCACAGATGGAAATATATTGCATTATAAACTCCTTCAAGTATCCATTATAGATTCTTTAGAAGTCATCAAGGTAAAAATTATCAGAACGAATAATGTACTTTAAGAATTCATTACTTTCTATGTGCAGCAGGCAATGTAACTGACAAACCATGTAGGAACAGAATATAAATTTTTCCAAACCACAGTAACAATGATCATAATTATTTTCATAAGAGTGAAGATACAATGAGAAAAAGATCAAAATAAGTCACTAAAATAAATTATTATTAATAAATATAAATATGTTAGTAGAATTGGTTGTACTGAGTAAGTATGAGATGATTCCACCCTCATGAAAGTGTGTATGTTGTCTTAGGGTCATAAATGCATGGGAAATAAGTTATGATGAGTGAAATGCAGAAAACAAAAGATCTACTTGTATAGTGGGAGAAGGAATAGCTAGGTGAAGATTATCTCCTAATTTGAATTTTATGTTTATAATGTTCACTCATATATCCCAGAATAATTTATAATGTTTGAAGAGTAGACAAAGAGAGTCCTAGGAAGAAAAGCAAGCCATGAAGTAAAGTCATCAACAAGATAAAATCTCTCTGTGTGTGAGAGATTAAAGGAAGATTGTGCCAAGAGTTTTGTGTCTACTGGGGAAGCTGAACACAGTGTAATAGGATGCAGGATGCTTTCGTACATGTTTCTCTGAATGGAACACCCTTCAGGAAGATATAAATGGCACACTCACTTGAAAAATAACTATACCTCTGTATTAAAAGGATCAAAGAGATTTCTAGGATGCAAACCATCCCTATGCTATTTAAAGTTACACACATTGAAAAAGAGTAAAATAAATTCAAATTGCAGCAAAAGTTAGGCATACCACAGAGATGTCAAACCTATCTGTATATATTATTGAATAATCCCCTTTGTGAATATCTACCCATAGAATTAATAAAATATTAAACTATTTATTCAATAATGCATTGAAACAATAATGCACTATGAAAGAGAAGGGATAATTTGCCTCTTGGAATATGAAGAGTGTCTTGCATTAGAAAATCCATTACTGTAATTCACCACCATGAGCAAGTCAGACTACATAATTACCACTGCAGCACCATTTAAAATAGCACCATATCTATTTTTAATGGATTCCAAACTACTTGTGATGACTATTATTGGTTGTCAGTTTGGCCACAACTGGAATTAACTAAAACCCAAGCAGCTGGGTATACTTGTGGAGGATTTTTCTTGATTTAAGTATTTGAAGAAGAAAGGATCAGCCTTAAATCCAGATTTTTTTGAGGTGGTAAGATCCACCTTAAATGTGGACTACAGCTTTTTGTGGAAACTTACAGAAAGGACACAAAAGAAGTAAGCAATTACTCTTTGCCTGCTTAGTCTTACTATTGCTGTCAAGTCATTCTGGCACTGGCATTAGACTGAGATTCTGGCATTTACTAAAGACCAGCTGAGACATCCAGTCTCACTGACTGCACAACCCCTGAATTCTTGGACTTTTCATTGGTAAATAGCCATTGTTGGAATAGCTGGACCACAGACTGTAAACTGCTCTGAAATATATATATATATATATAAGTGTAACTAATACTTTTCTTCTTTAAAATTATAATAAAAAAAGCTTGTTATACAAAAAAATTCAACTGACAAGAAGCCATTGAAGTCAACTATCACTATCAGGTTGTGATGGTAATATTCATTGTCAAATTGACAGGATCTATAAACACCTATTAAAAAATACCCCAGAACATATCTATGAAGGAGTTTTAAGAGGGAGTTAGTTGAGGAGTAAGACCTGCCTTAAATGTGGGTAGCACCATTCCATGCTAGACTTAAAAATAATGAGACAAAATAATAAAGAGAAAGTAGGCTTAACACTACTGTGGATAAAATGTGGCTAGCTGCCTCATAGTCCTGCCATCATCCCTTCCCCATCATTGTGAACTGTACCCTCTACAATTGTGAGAAAAATAAGTTCTTCCTTAAGTCAGTTTGTCAGGTATTTTTTAATAACAACAAGACAAGATAATATAGAAAAGTAGGGGCTAAAGAGATGGCTTAGCAGATAAACCTGCTTGCTACACAAGCCTGGCAATCTGAATACAATTCCTTCAACCCATGGAAGAAGGAGGGACTTGAATTCCCAGAGATTTCCTTTAATTTCCATGTATGTGCACTATAGCATGTGTTAACCACATTCACATACATATGTTCTTTCATAAATAAAGTAAAAATTATGAAAAAATCTCCTTCAAGGGATGATCATTGCTGTGATACACCCAAGTACACGATACTTACACCTTTGGAACTGCTTTGTGCAAAGGTGGAAGAGTTTGGAGATTCATTCTAGAGAAGGTCTAGAATGCTTTAAGTGGAACATAATACATAATTTTGGTAGGAATCTGAATACCAGAATTCCAAGAGAAGAGTAAGTGCTCATCTCATGGTGTTATAAGGGTTGGAGTCAACCAGGGTTGGATGTAGCAGTTACATGATACAATTTTGGCAAAGAATCTGGCTAGATTCTGTCCATGAGTGAGAAAAAAAAGAGTAATAGTGAACTAAAAAGAAATGTTTTAATCTCTGGTGGAGGAAATCTCATGATAGTACAGTGTTTGGGCTGTTGCATGGCTCCTGCTTACTGCTCTCATTCAGATCTCCAGGGAGAAACACAAAGATATGAAGTTTTGTGGAGAAAGCATGCAAGCAAGTTTAAAGAAGACTATGAGAACACAATAGGTGGAAGATTGTGGATTAAAAGCTATTTGCTTGGATGTCAAGTTGGCAAGTAGATTTAGGATGATTAATACTGATTGTCACCTTGACAGATCTAGAATCATCTCAGAAATAAATTTCTAGTCACGAATGTGAAGGAATAGGGTTAACTGGATAGGAAAAACCAACCCCAAATGTAGCACCATAGACCTGCCAGCTCTAGGGTCCTAAATGTAATAATTAAAAGATAGTGAATTGAGCACCAAAAACAATCTCTATTGCTTTCTGAATACGGATGCATTGTAACCAGTTCTATCAGGCTCCTGACATGATGCCTCCCCTCAAATTGAAGTCAAAATAAGGTTTTTGACTTGACCTTTTCATGTATTGAGTAAAGATAACTAAAGATGTTAAAAGAAGTTACTATTTATCAATAAACATGTTTACTAGATGCTGTGTATATTAGAGCTCAATATAGTTATTGTTAGAAGAATATGATAAAAGCATATGACAAGACCCCATCCAACTATTGAAAGTCAAATAATAAAAAATGTGGGAAGGTAAACATGATGACATAACATAGAAAAAATTGCTAAACTGTATCAGAAATGGTAATTTTATCTGTTTATACATTTTCATTTAAACAACAGAAATATCTTTATAATACATAGTCCACAGTGAAATTATAGGTATTTTAAGATTTTTTACATTCACTTTATGTATGGATTTTTCTTGAATTTGTTTCTAGAATTTTCTAAACTCAAAGTACACATAAAAGTTTGAAGTTGAAAACAATAAAAATAAACATTTGGCAAAATAAAGGCCTGCTACTCATGAATTGTCTCCTACCAGGCACATGAGCAATGACTTCCCTACAGTCCTCAATTTGAAGTTGCAAATATTCTAGCAAAATTTTGCCTCAAAACATTGCTTTTCATTCCATTGATAAAATGCTTGGCACCTAATTGTTGAATGTTCTAAAGTGTTGATTTCACAGGTTATCAGAGATCTTTGAGTCCATATGAACGTTGACCTTACCACTGTGCAAGTACTAAGTATTCAAAACTGTTAATATAGCTTGGGAAAGTAATGATTATGGAAAGCGTGACCTTACCAGAAACGTATAATCAGTTGAATAGTAGAGATTCTCTACATCAAATCTGCATGTGGGTTGCTTGAAATCTCTAAATAAGGAACCTCCACTTTTGACTTTCAAAATGTAGACTTTTTCAGGGCCATTAATTTCACTAGGAGGATCACATGTGACACTTATAAAATTTTCTGACTTCCTGATGGCTTTCATTCTGTTGACCTTGCTTGGTGCTGTCGAAATAAAATGTTTGTCATCTTAATCATTTGATATGTGAAAATATAAATAACTTGAAATGCGAGTACAATGTAAACCATTTTAAATGTTCGTCTGCACATGAGAACACAGATTTAGCAACTATATTGAAACATCTAAAAATAAATCACCTCTTCATTAAGTATTAACCTATAAGACATGCTGGAAGTCCTGAGAACATGCACAATCCCTGTAGAACAGGATGTGGAACTGAACAGCAGTGAAAAGTGAGAAGGAGGAGGGGCGAGGATGGATGCTAGAGAAACATGGAAGGAAACAGCCCTGATCCTCCTTCTCTCATGAGTATCCTACACAACACAAGGTGAGATTATAGAATTATCAAATCATTTTCATTTGCTATGACATCCCAGAAACCTGGGAAGGCAACAATATCATATGTCCATAAGACTTCAAAAATCCAATACTTTTATTAATTCTTTGAGTTTGTCATACAATATATATATTTGAGCCTGTTCAAACATACACACCCTGACTCCTCCTCTCACCGTCTGCTCTTCCCTGCCACCCATTTCCATTCAGCTTTTAGTTTACTCCTCTTCTTGTCCCGTCAAGCACGTTCCTTGGCTTGGGGCCTATCCTGATGTGTGGTCAGCCTATCAAGGGTCACATCATTAAAGGAAACTGACTCTTCTCTAGTAGTTATCAAATGCCAACACTTCCTGAGCTAGTGGTGGAATTATGTGTACCCCTTTCCTCTCTACACTGGGATTTTAGGATTTGGACATTTAAAACCTGATCCTAGGTGATGTGGAGAATGTTTTAACACTGACAACATTTTCTTCTCCAGGAATCTGGTGCTCAGATAGGTCATATAGTTATAGATCCTACTATACCCCCAAAAGTCTTTCTTATTCCCTGCCTATTCGAGATTAGCAGCTACCCTGGACACTAATCTAGCATTGTTTTCACAAACTATGTGAACATCACACTGGAAGCAACATCACTGAAATTTCCAGTGTATATTAATTAAATGTTTTGTCATTGTAACTATGAGTCAGTGCTCTGTAGAACATCATCAAGCATCTTGGAGCAGACAGTGTTTCTAGATAGTAAAGAGAGAATTTTTAATCTAAGTTGCTGAGGGTTATAAACGCTTGATGTCTTATGAAGCATACTGGCTGATGACACTTCCAGCTTTGTTCCTTCAACCCTGTGACAATATCTGATAAATGCAGTGAACCTTGATTAGTAGGTTTTAAATAATTTTTAACAAAATCTAAGATTTTAAATTTTAAATAATTTTAAACTTTAGATGTTAACAAATATGCCAGCCCAATGTATTTCCCAAAGTAGAAAGATCAACACATTGTACATGAAAATAGCATTCGTTGTTCCTTGCCACTCATGGAAGAAACATTAAAGCAGAGAACTTACGAGCCTCTTTTGTCCGAAAGGAGCATGATTCAGCAGTCCCATTGCGTTGCACTGCCCCGGTGACATGGGCGTGGATTGACACTTTATAATATGTATAAGGTTTCAGGTTCTTTATCGTGTAAGGGATATCATTCACTCCCACAGGGTCACAGATTTCTAAAACTAAAAAGAAAAAATAATTTAGTAAGTTTCTGAAAGTCAGGATCCCAATGCAATGTGCATAACTTGATTTTTACATTATAGACTCCAAAGACTGAATAAACTTATATAGAAAGACAATGCCATGTGTTGTCTTTCTCCTGTGTTCCCGGTTCCAAATTTTTAGAGCTAGAGTAACTTCAGGAGCCAGGAAAATACAAAGGACAGGGGAGTGGTTTTCTAGAGAGGGGACAGCAGGATACAGGTGATATGAAGTGGGGGATGAGGAATGTGAAGGGGGCTTTAATGCAGGAAGAGAGGGAGGAAGAGGGATCTAAAACACTAAGGATGCTTAAATAAGACACAGACAACCATTGCTTTATATTCGCCCACAAGTTGAAGGAAAGTCCCTATTGCTAATGACACCATATAATTCATGGAGCCATGAGACTGAGGGAACATCTGATTAGGAGTCACAGCACTTAATCTGGAACTGACCTGGAAACCCACTCTCTGAGGACTAGCTTTCATAGTACCAGAAGGTGATATGCAAGCCACGAAGAGACAAAAACAATCAATAATCCTATGTAGCTGTGACATCTATGAAGTACAACAATGACCAGCACAGCAAGTCATCCCTAAGGATACACTAGTGGTACTCCTATCTTGGCAGTAAGCAATAGCTGCCTAATTGGTCCGCTTAACAGGAGGAAAATTTCATCTTGTACTGTAAACACAGCCAACTGCATGCATCTAGAGGAACCAGAGGTACAGGTACAAGAATCTAGAGGAACACTCTCTCTGGCACTTCCCCAAATGAATATTCCACCTAACTGAATTCTAAATACATATTGTAATACTCAAGTAAGTGTAGTTCTTATACCTCATCAAAGAAACTTCTTTTTGTGGCCAATGGAGAATATTACAGAAAGCCACAGCTTGTCAAATAGCAGAGAACAACATACAGTAGAGTGCTTTTCTCCGGTTAATGCATCAACAACACAACTCAGCTCAGGGAATATCAAGGAAGATGGGGAAGCAGAAAGACTATAAAAACCAGAGGACCAATAAGTTGTGTAGTTGTGTCTTCTAGCTATGACAGGAAACCTACACCTATGAAATTTCAACAACACAGCTACCTGATGAGACCTGTATGATTCTGACAACAGTTGACACCCACACCTGAATGAGGGAAACCTCATCAGGCCTAACCTTAAAAGAAGAGCTACAAGCTGAGATCAGGATATCCATCCATCCCTCAGGATGATCCTTTTGATTGGTTACCTGCTATCAAGTGATCTGAAGGCAACCCTGAATGGACTCAGCAGGCTGTGATTTTATGTTTATTCATTTATGTATATATTAGCACAATTAAAGAAGAGGAGGCTGTGAGATTCGGAGAAGGAAACAGAAGTACAGTGGAAAGAGAAGGAGAGGAATGAGGTAAATGGTCTAAATGTGTTTTAATTTTACAGATATATATGTGTGTGTATAGACAGACATATATATGTGAATATCATAATATATAATATATACACATATATTATGATAAAGCTGTACAATCAATATAAAATGCATTGAATAAATCTAATTATTCTGACAATCTCAAATCATCCAACATTATGAGTATATATCATTAATGTAGTGCATAGAATATTCAATTAACTTAGACAAATTTGTGGAGATTTTCTCTTCCAACACAACACAGACCCCAGTGAACACTGCAAATTCTTATTTTGCCATGCTTTAGAATGATTGTTTTCATCACACCTTTTCTGATACTTAACTCCGACCTTAGAGAGCTACTGTTACAGGCTTTCAGGGAAGAAGCCATTGGGTCACATTATTTTAAGGCTGTAGGAATTTGTGGGGAGCATGAAAATGAGAGGAGACTTTATTATGCTACTAAAATCTGGGCTTTGTATGGAAAGGTGAATGAAACTGAATGAGTTGAAAGAGAAAACCTAGATATTTTGGGGGGGGGGTGTTAAGGTCTAATTCCTGGACTTGTACATGCTATATAAGCATGTTACTGTTGAGTTGCATTGCCACAAAACCTTAGACATGAAAGAAGGGATGATTTTAGCTTATGGACAAATAAGATTAGCATAACAGATAACGATGTTAAGTTAAGACTTAGATATAACTTAGGACATAGGTAGAAGTGCTAGCATATGTTAAATGGGAAATCACTGGGCACATATTGACATTTTAAGTGGAAAAATATAGCAAACAATTACAAGCATCATATTATTAGACATCAGCTATAATGATAACAACACGAAAATGTGATCAATGATCCTATACATGTTACAATAACTTTGTATGATGTATGAGTTAATTGATTTAACCACCATCATAGTTATAAAGTTGGTATTTGCCATACCATCTGATTTTATAGAAAACTGAGCCATAGAGAAATGAAGCCACTGGTCCATGACTGCAGGCAAGAAAAATGAATCTAGAATGGAACTTAGGCACTGAGGTCTGGAATTTGAGCTCCTGCATTTACCGTTTCATCTCCTCTCTGGAGAAAAGCAGACAATAAATGCCCACAATAGGGTGAAACCTGAATTTTTGTCTTGAGACCATACTTTTCCAGTGCTCTTGGATATGGCTTTGGGATTTCAGGAGCAGTGTCAGAAAAGATTCAACACATAATTATAAGGAATATCACCATGGAAGTCTCAATAGTAAGTTGGGGAAATCAATCTCTGTAATGGCAGCTGTTTCTCAGAATTCCCCAAAGCCTGCATACATTGATGTTAGTTTCTAGCTCAGGTCTGCTTTATCCATAGGTTGAATCCTCTCTGAGAAGGCTGAATACAGGAAGGGTCAAATGACATCCATGCCTTCTGCTACATTTTTGTATGGTGTCTGTTTTTTAGGACAATGTCTTCATCACTGGGATAATATCCAGTGGTTAAGGGTATTGATCTCCATCTCAGCTTGGCTTTTATTTAGGACCTAAATTCATGAGCTTGTTTATGGAATCTCACAAGCATTCTGCATCAAAACACAGCTTCATAATGCACTTCAATGAAGCTCGTATTTTACCTAATGTAACAAAAGTGAAATTGTTCATTTTAAGCAATAAATCTGAAGCTTTTTAAAAGAAGTAACTAATGGAGATTCTTAGTGTTTAGACAAAATATTTGGGGTGTTTGCTTCAAATTACTAAGAATTTCAAGGTTTGGTTGAAAGGTTCTGCTATGGTTAATCTTGATTGGCAACTTCATTGGATTGAGAGAAACCTTGGTAAATCACACATTTATGTCTGTGAGGTGTTGTGAGACATGTTTTGCATATGGTTCTGTGAAAAGAGTGAGAAAGATCTTCCCTGGATACAGATAGCTGTCCTACAAGATGGGGGCCTGAATGAATGTGGGGTAAGGATGATTCTCTCTCTTGTGAATGAAGGACAGACTCTTATTGAATGGACATGCTTTTCCCTGTTGCCATCACACACCTTTTTAAGATCTGAACACAGCTTGCAGTAGTGACTCTGCAGGGGGATTTTAGGCCTTCAGCCTTGGACTGTGGTCCCTCTTTTCTGAGGTTCTACACCTTTTGTACTGAGCAGCTACTGCTTTTTCTGTCTCTGCAACTGGCAGATGAACACTGAAGGACAGCCCAGTCTTAGAATGTATTAGCTAATCTAATAATTGTTAGGCAAATCCCCTTGATTCTTTTCCAGTGAAGAATCATCACTCACACATTCACAACACTGTACATGAACACTTTTGGCTCCTTTATGAAGTCAAATACTTTCAGGTCTCAGAGAACAAACTGTGGAACAAAGGAACATCTTGTTTCATTAAATGATTCAATTTTTTCTGTAAATGAATAGTAGTATTCCCACCATTAAAGTCATGTCTGCTGTTTATGGAAACACCTAGAGGGTCAGTGATGTTTGTTACCAGTGAAATATTTATATATATATATATATATATATATATATATATATATATATTCCCAATGGGCTTATTGAAAACAAAATTGTATTGAAGGGATTTGCAATGTCAAAAGAGACAAATAAAAGGCCATATTTAAAAGATATATACAATGATTTTTTTCAGACACCTGTATTTTACTTTATTATTTTCTTTTTAAATTTAAATTAGAAAGAAGCTACTTTTACATGTCAATCCCAGTTCCCTCTACCTCCTCTCTTCCCGTGACCCCACAGACCCCTCATCCCATCTCCTTTCTGCTCCCCAGGGAGGGTGAGGCCTTCCATGGTGGATCTCCAATGTCTGTCATGTCATTTGGAGCAGGGCCTAGACCCTCCCCTATGTGTCTAGGCTAGTATCCCTCTATATGAATTGGGTTCCCAAAGTCCATTTGTGTATTAGGGATAAATACTGATCCACTACCAGAGGCCCCAAAGATTAACCAGACCTCCAAACTGACATCCTCGTTCAGGGGTCTGGAACAGTCCTATGCTGGTATACAATGGTTTCTAATATCATCATAATTTCAAAATGTGCACATTGCTTTCAATAGCTCTTAAAAGTCAATCACTTAAATGCACAAAGCTGAAAATGCCTTTATTCAATAACTGAGGGAGGGGGATCTTCTTGTTATAGTGTGTCATTAAGTTGATAACACAAAGCTGAAGCTCCTCAAGATATACCATATGGTAAAAACATGAATGTCGTGATGTCAGGAGGTTCATCTGAAGCTGCTGGAAAATCATCTAACATTGAGTTAATCTGATTTTCATCATATGAACATCTCTCTGGAGATATTAGACCATATCAAAAACCACTTTAAGTAAAACATAATAAAATCACCAGATATCCCAAGAGAAATAAATACTGGATATATTTTTCTCCTCTTTTCTAACTTTAGGAGACACTGAGACAGTTACATTGTGAAATGATGAGGCGAAATGTAAAGTTTGATTTAAAGGCATTCATTTCAAAGACTTTAGACCTGTGAATTTTGAAAGTCTGGAGCTTTTCACCTGGACTAGTGTACATAGTTTAATGGACTGAATGATGCTATGATCCTGC